GAACCCGTGCTGGTTGCCCCTGAGCATGCAGCTCCCTTTTGTTGCTGGCATTTTTTTTCATTGTGAAAATTTTGTGATTTCTTAAGCGTTCAGTGGAAAAAAGTATGTGGCCCATTTTGAGGCCATGTAGACATAAACTAATGCCTGTTTTAACCATGACTATCATAGTTCTCCTTTGTATTTTAGTGAGGCAGCGAGTCCTTGACCAAAAGAACCATGAGGTCGATTGGGCAGAGACAGGGAAGTTGCAGCTGGTGGTCAGGAAGCTGGAAACAACGAGCACAACTGAGAAGAAAGAGTCTCAGGAAGAGCTGATCCCCCAGCAGGTAAGTAGTTATGGCATGCCCTCCTTGCCGAGGCCAGAGCTTTTGAAACGGTAGCAGGTGATACCGCATTTACTTGAGTCCAGGATGACCCTGAATTTGTGATGATACCTAATAATTAGATTCTATACATGGACAATTTTATAAACATGCTATAATTTTCCATGTATGACATTTAATTATTGGAAGGCTGTCTTAAGTTCATTCCCCTTGCTGCTGCAGTTGGGAAAGCAGTAGCAGGGAAGGCAAGCAGTAGAAGACCAGAGATAAGGGGGCAGGCAGTGGGGTTTGACCCCTGATGCTTGCCCCCCCACACCTTGCCCCTTGCTGCTTATCTGCCCCTGCAGACAAGTGGGGGAGACACAAGAGGGTGGCAGAGTAGAGAAAGGAGGTGGAGAGAAGTTGAGGCTGCAGTGGGCAGGTGGGCAGGAGCTGAGGCCGCAGGGGCAGAGAGCATTTTCTGCCTTCCACCAGCTTATGCTTGTTAAATGAGGAAATTACCTCATCTTGGAATTGAGTAAATATGGTATTTTTAATGGGTTGATTGTTCTGGTTTCAGGAGCTGGAGCCGGAGCCAGCCAGCACATTCCAAGAGTCAGGTAATTTTTTGTTTGAAACCATAAACCCCACTAAATGCATCAGATTTGTTTTTATAAAATAAAATCTAGGTGCTGGTTTGTGCAATGAAGCTGCTGTGCTATGTGAAGGACTGACCTATGGGTCTCAAAGATTAAAACTCCTAGTAAGCAAGAGAAATTTCCCCACTGTCTCTTGGTTCTTGTCCCAGTCTAGCAGCTAGTAAGTCGATGAGAAAATTGGAAATGTGAAAGAGCCTTTAGTAGAGATCTATTTTTCACACCTGGATTTGGATTCTGGTGGCATATGGTTATCCAGAACAGCAGTCAACTTAAGTGAGGAATATTCTGGATCTGACTGCTGAGTACTGTTGTTTCATGTTGCAAGCTGCTGTCCAGGTGCAACATCTCTGGATCTGGCTATTTTCATTCATAGATTTCATAGACATTAGGGCTGGAAGGGACCTCGGAAGATCATTGAGTCTAGCCCCCTGCCCCAGGGATAGGAAGTCAGCAGAGGTCAAAGGATCCCAACAAGATAAACATCCAAATTTCTCATGAAGGCGTTCCAAGTAGGTGTTCAAGGCAGCACTTCAGAGATACTCCCGCTAGCTTTGTCTTTGCTAGTTCTGGAACTGGAAGCAGCAGACCTGCATTAGTTTGGACACAGTGCTACACTACTTTAAGGAAAACTTGAAGCCAGTGCATCATTAATATGGCTATGCTGCTGGTTCCAGATATAGCACAGCGAGAGCTAATGCATCTCAGCACAACATGCAGTGCTTTGCATCAATATATCCATTAAGTCCTTGTCCAGAAAAGGACTCGAGTCCCCACCACATTTTCTTTAACCATTATTGAACTCCAGAAAACTCATGCTTAATTGATAACACAAATTACCTTAATTAAACTTGGTAATTGAGTGAAAAAATATTTTTTGCTATGGCTCTTGGTATAGGGCTTTTAGCTCAAACAAAACTAAGGTTCTCCTTTCCTATTAGTTTACAATAGCCCGGCACTGCATTATCCTGCTTGAGAACTCCTTATTTGTGCAATAAAGGTTGTTCACATGTGAACATAGGTGGTAAGACCAGTGCAGTCTGGCAGCTTCAGTTGTTGACTTTTGTCTCAAGTTACTATTGCAAGTATTCTTGGTGCAGTACCAGTCAAAATTCTTGGGCAGAATCAGGACCATACTGTACTAAGCATTAATTAAGCACATTAGGGGCGTAAGCCTTAAAGTTGCTTCTCCCTGGAGGAAGCTTGTTTCTGAGATCTATTGTTCAACAGCCTCTTTTCTAGAAGCAAGTGTTCACTTCAAAGTGCTGTAATGTGTTGGGAAGGCTGATCCATGTTTCAGGAAAAATTACAGATGGACACATTCTAATGGTTTTCTGTGTACTAGTTTATTTTTAATGTAATGCCTCTTAATCTTTAAGCTTGTACAACATGTTTGAATGATACCATGCCTGGGTTGAAATAAATATATACTACAAGGTATGAATGTTTTAAAGGTGTAAGTGCTGTCAAAGGTAACACAATCAAGCTAGATGAATTTGTACCTGTAAAAACAGAGGGTGTTTGTTTTTTGTGTGTGTTTTTTTTTTTGTTTTTTTTTTACCTGCAGTAAGCAACAATCACTTGTGGTGTTTTGTTTTGTTTTTTTTTTCCTTCTAGTTAATGAATCGGAAGCATTTGTTCCAGCCCTGAGTGCTGATGGGAATTCTGCGCGTGTAGAGCAAGAGCCGAAGCCAGGTATGTTTGCAGTTTGTTAACTGTGGGCAGTCTCGAATTCAACAAGCCTATATGCTAGCCTACCCCTTTGCAGTTAAGCTTTCTCTATTGCTACCTGGATTACCAGTGATCTAGTAGGTTGGCTACTGATAAAAGAAGCAAGAAATGGGTCTGCAACATGACCATGTATTAGTTGTACCCCAAAACACAAAAATAGACTTATCCTAAAGTCTATCTGGCTATGAATGATGACGCAACATGGATTCTTACCTATATCAACTGGGGATTCTCAAGAAGGCATAGAGGATGGCATGAAGAATAGTAGCAAGTCTTCTTGTATATGCCAAGTTCTTCAAATTCCTCTCAAATCTATACCCTATATTTATAGACCGCTCATTTTGATAGTCTAATAAATATTCTCTGGTTGGCTTTATTGATAGTTTCCATTTTGCTGAAACTTTTGGACCTGAACTGAATCAGGCCAGTTCTTTTATGGACTAGGAAGGTGTCAGTTAGTAGGGATTTGCATCCTTGTGAAAGTTCCAGTTCTGGAAGGGAGGATTAGATGACTTATTTGGCCTTATAAAATATATCACATCTATCCAAAGAACCTTGCCTGCCTACAACTTCCCAACAAACATGAACACACACATCTCTTCTTACAAAACTGTATTTGGCACATGTGGTTACAGTAACCGCTACTATTAACATTTTTAAGCTAGAGCTATGATATACTGTATTTTGAATATCTGTTTTAAGGCATTCTTCTATAATGTCACTATCCAGGGCTTGTGCTTTGTTTAATTTAGTTTATTGGTTTAGCTGGATGTGTTGGTGTTTTTTTTTTTCCTTTACTTTGCTGACCAGACTAGTTGTACTATCTATAAAGGGTGTACTTTGCAGTCACTTGGAAACAGGCTCTGGGGCCTTTGCTTTAGGCAGATTTCTGCAGCTTGACCTTGGTTCTTTGTAAATTGCCAACGCTGGCAACACTGCACAGATAACCCTTAGTGCTACTGCCTAGGCAGCACTGCCAGTGTTGGTAATATTGTAGGGGTGTACTTGGTAGCCATGTTGGTGTGAGACAAAAAGACATACAAAACACTAGAACTCTTGGTTCCAAAATAATACCTTTTTATTAGGCCAACTGGAAAATGGCAAGAAAATGTATGCATTTTCAGGACTGCATCCTGTGCCACTCAGAATTGGGCTAGATGTCACAGTGATAAAACCCTGTTAACTGCTAGCAGCCCATCTGCCTGAGGTCCCACCAGTGTGCCCACTGTTGGAACTGTGCTGGCGATTAATGATGGGAAACACAAGGGGAAATGAAATCAAAGCCCAACCAGTGGTTCCCCTTTGTCAAGGCTTAGTCAAACTGACTAGGCCTTGTGAAAAGTCCCTGCCCCTGCAGTCCCAGTTGTGTAGAGAAACAGAGACCTTGTTTCTAGTACTATTGTTCCCAAATCTTCCCATGCCAGTACAGTAGAATTTTTTTTTAAAAAGAACTCTATTAAACAAAACTGAGATGTGTCATTTTAGGAAAAAATCTCTTCCTTATTTTTCCTCTCCCCTTGTTTTTGAGCTGGTAAACTTGGTATAAAGTCCTTAGAAGGGGAGGGGAGCACCTAATTTTGGTTATTTAAATTTTTTATCAGACTTCCCATCTTTGATTTATTTTTTTTTATTTTTTTATGTTTTTATTTTCCAGATCCTTCAGGGAAATTTGGAGGAGAGACAACGCCCTCTAAGGAATTCACTGTGGTCATCACAACTGCCACTGAGGAGGATATTGAAGACGATCTCTTGGAAATGTACTTTGAAAATAAAAAGCGGTCAGGTGGAGGACCCATCAAGTCCTGTGTCAGAGACCATCAACAAATTTTCATCACCTTCGAAAAGGAAGAAGGTATGATATTGTGGTGGTTCTCAAAAGTAGGCCACTGTTGGTGCAAAGCTCGCCATACCCTGGAAATCCCATGCTGTTTATGTAGGACTAGGTGTGATCAGAGTACTGTTCCCTACTCCTAGGCCCATGCGCACAGTTTGCACCTCCCACAGTGCTGCACTGGAGATGTTGCAGGTTTCACACAAGCTCTGAATATAGTAGCACAAGTGGGGAGTGCTGGGATAAATTGCTATATCCATGCTTACAAAGATCTAGTGCAGGGTATTATATAAGGAGCATAGTGGAGCAGCAGGCCTTATTCCAGTTCAGCACCTGGGGTTGGGGGCTGCATTGTGCTTTGGCTGCAGATTGGGTGCAAACTTTACCTTGTGCTTTTTACTTCACCCGAAATTCCATTTTTTCTGGAAGCTGGGAAAGGGAGTAAATCCCATAGTATTGCAGAAAAGAGAAACGCTGATGCTATTTTTCAAAATTCTTGTTACACCAAGTCTATCCTGGCACTGTGGGCAGAATAGATAAGCTTTGCCAGCTGCCTAAGGAAATGCTTTGCTAAAAGTTCTGGATATGGGTGGGCATATTTCCAGTTAGGGTGGTATAGGGTGCCAGGGTCAACAGAAAATGGAAAAAGGCTATTCCTGGACTGAGATGGCTTCCTTGTTGGATTAGATTAGAGTTAGGTTTATACTGAGATATTGGCTGTAGAACTATTCAGCTGAGAAAATAGAGAACCTCAACCAAATTCAGAAGAGAGGAGTACAAGCAAAACTACCCTCAGGCTAAGTTACCTTTTAATTAAGTTACATTCAAGAGGACACTTCACGATCATCCTCAGTGCCGAGGTCTTACACCTGAAAACCCAGAACGTTTATGACACCTAGCTTCTGAGAGTAACCAGAAATGCCTGAATCATAGTTTGACCCTCCTGTGTGAGAGAAGGGGTTGAAGGCAGAGGGGCTGATTTAAGATGAAGTATACAAATCTTTGTGGGTGGCATCTGTGGCACAACTGTTCTGCAGAATCACTGAGCTGTATTCAGAAACCAGGGTTTATTGAGACTCACAGACCAACAGTGGAAAAGAAAACCCAGACCTCAGGTTACTTACCTGCAACATAAAAATCACCATTTTGATCGAAGCCTCACTGTTTCTCATTTTGTTAGGGTAGGACTCAAGGGCACCTCCAGATTTTTCTTCTTGGCGTTTCTTCAAAGTGAGAAGTAGAGATTAATCTGCTGTCCTCTTCTGACCATTATGTAGCTTCCAGCTGCCTAAGTTTAACTGAGCTCGCTATTGTTCAGCTTCATGAAGCTCCACGCAGCCTGTTGTACTTCCCTTCCTCCAATGTGAATGCCACTGGAGGAAATTAGGAAAGCAACAGAGAAGACCAGAAAACTTAAACCAAGAGACAAGAAGAGAACTGATCAGGGAAGCAGGTCAAGATGAAAGAGTGCTAGTAGGGAGGAGCATAGCTCCATGTGGCATAAGACAAAGGCTCTCAGGAATAACTTCACTAGATAATGTTTGCTTGACTGTGTGGGCAGGCCAGATTTGAGTGCACCTGACCTTGAAAGCTAAGCAGTCTATGGTCTGAGTGTTTGAAAACCCACGTGCTACAGCTATAAGTCAGGGAGTTGTGTTCACCAAATGTTTGGCCACTGTATAATAAAAGTCAGATCAGCGGCAACAATTGACCTGACCTCATCGTTGCTACTGTACTGACAGGTAAGACGAAGGGAAAGGGTTTGCTTGACTGTTTCAGTAGCATTTTCATGGGGAACTATTTAGCCAGTTGAAAATGAATTTTAAGTGACTTCAGGTCTTACCCAGGCCCCCTAATTTTCTTTGTAGCCTGATGGTTACATTTTTCTTTTGGCTAAAGTGTTTTTTCTGTTATGTTACCTTAGCAAGCAAGAGAAACAGGCTGACTATTCATTGCAAATGGTGTAGTTTTACTCTGTACAAAGTGCTGTCAAATGCACAACATTAATGGACAGAAATAATGCGTTTTTCCAGTCTTGCTGATAGTTATTTTTAGATGTTACTTTTATTATAATAGTGAAAAGAAATGTTTCTGGCAGCAATGTGATATTTGAGCTTAGGGCTCAGGTCCAATAAAGCACTCTGAGAAGCTAAAGCATTTCAAAATTAGGCACCCATTTCCCATTCGTATCCATGGGATGTGAACACCTACTTCACTGATCCTTCTGTGAAAATCCTAGCCTTAATAACTAGTTTAAGTTTAATGGGACTATATTTGCATATGTGCCTTGCTGAATGGCTTCCTAAATAAAGATATTTAATGTATTTTGGTAGAAATGTAAGCTAATTGATTAGTCCTTGCTGATCTTTCATTCGCATACTAATCAAGAGCACTGTATTAGGGTCAAGATAAACCATTTGTTTTATACTGAGATGGTCAGCCTTTACACAGGTGTTTGGGGGGTGTGAGGAGGGGGGAGAGTGAACATGATACTGGCCTAACTGCTCAATTTTGTCTCAAATTACCTCTGAAAGAATCTGATATTAAAGCTACACCTGGTCTAAGCTGTATTGATGTAGGCGTTGTTTGTATGTAGCTTATCCAGGGTAGTCATTTGTTCGTAGTAAACAGGCTATTATCAGCTGTCCTACCACCTAGTTGCAAAGATGTGTAATAGCTTCTAGCCTTGTCCAGCTATCCCTCTCTACTGTATATTCTTACATACATGTACCTTTTTCTGCAAAATAAGCCCCTCAAAATTGGGGTGTGTGTATTAAGTGGGGATGCTGACTTTCTTCCCTTGATTCCTGCTCCACAGTGCAGCAGCCTTGGTATTAATATTGAGGCAGTGACTTAATGGCTCCTTGCTCTTCACTCCAGAGGTGTTAATGAACATATCACTTTTTAATTACCTTGATTGAGCTAGCCTTTTTAGGGCGGTTTTTCTGTCTGTTTCCTCCTGGAGTCTCTCCCCCCATTTCACAACCTTGGAAACTCTTCAGCTGTCCAAAATTATAGATCCAGTCATGGAGACCAGTCTTCAGCAGCAGCTAAGCAGGGAAAGGAGGATGAGTCTGCTGAAGATTAAGCTCTGTCCCATCTCTGTGTAGCCATAACTCTGGGAAAAGCTTGCTTTCTTTTTTTTCTTTATTCTGTCTTTCAAAAAACAAGGCTTTTATATTCTGGAGCAAGTTGTATATAACAAAATGTAGTAGTTGGACATCTGTATGCTCCACATCTTGGTGCAATTTACATTAGATACAGAACCAATGTAAGTTACAGTGGTGTGAACATGGTGTCCATGTTGCACACACTCTTTCCTGCCAATACCCTTTGACCCTTGAGGACTAATTGGCACTAGTAATGTAGCTGATAACATATGCTGCTGCAGGTTCAAATTATTCTGGATAACAGAATAATTTTTAACCTAATTCCTACTTCTAACATTTATAATAAGTTTCCACTTCTTCCATAACAAAAGAAAGTATGAATCAACCTAGTCTTTAAAAATATATCAGGGCTTACTTAACGTTAATACCTGTAGTTACTCAGAACTGGTTATATAATGGTGATCGCTATGTGTGTGTATATTTCTGGGGAACTAGATGCTCGAGACATCTTGCAACGAAAGAATCACTCAGTAAAGAAAATTGCACTTTGTGTGAAACCACTCCAAGTGGAGGATATTCAAGAAGTCCTGTCTTCATCCTTGGTTGTGCTAGAAAACGTACGGGAGACTACAAAAGAATGTGTGTTGACTCTACTGGTGGAGAATATCAGTGGCTTATCAGTAGATGATGATGACTTCAGTATGGAACTAATACCTGAACTAAATGCTGCTGTAATCACGTTTATCAAGAACATTGGTAAGGAGGAATGTATGCCATGTATCTCTTTCATCTGAGATGTTAAAGGGGGATCATTCAACTAATGTGTCAGGTTAGCTAGAAAAATGAGGGTGATGTTATGTCAAAGGTTTCACACGTAGTCTGATCTCTCCTCCGTTGCAAATCAGGGTAACTCCCACTAAAGTCAATGAAGCTACACTAGGTCAGTCTGAGGGAGAAATGAGTTGGACCCACTATATATAGTGACCATAGCTGGGACAATAACCATCTCTAAATTTTATAGACTCAGCTACAGAAGTGCTGGGCAGTTGGCAGTGAACTGTTGCAAGTGATACATATGTTTTGCACTTGGTAAATTAAGATTATGGGCCATTATTTTGTGGCGTAAACTGCACCAAATATTATTTCCTAAGGGCTACATCCTTTTTTTCCATTTAAGTTGATGGTAGCTTTGCATCTGGCCTCTAATGGCACAGTATTTGTCCTTAAATAAATATATGGTTGCTAAAAGGTAAACACTTCAAATCCATATACCACCCCAATAGCATATGACTATATATAGCATGCAACCTACATTATTCCTTTTAGTTTTTCTTTAAGCCCATTTTGTAGCTTGTTCTCATTTATATCTGTGTCCTTCATCAGTATAGTATACTAATGTACATTATAACTATTCTGGATGACCAGTTGTCTCTCATTCCACTTCAGTGAGAAGTGTGAATTTTTTCTGAGCAAAAGCTTGATGATTATTAACAAGTTAGATGCAGTGGCATGGAAAACCATGACCGTTGTCAGCAAATAGCTTTGAGAGGGAGCATGGTCTGTAGGTCTTAGTGTCCAGGTAAAAGTCCAGAATGACTCCAGTTCTTTATTTCCATCTCTGACAACAATTCCTCATTTAGTCCTGGCCAGGTATTGTCACGCATTTGTGACACTGCAGTATTTGCCACACAAGTAAAATCTGCTCATCTCCCTCTTTACCTTGAAAGCTAATGGTATTTTACTTGTTTGATGCAAGGACACTTATTCTAGGCAAGTGAAAACATTGTATTTTCCAAATCCAGTGTAGGTCAGAATAACTTTGCATAAAACTTCAGGCAGGCCAAACTGATTGCTTCCGGTCTGGTTTAATCATAGAAGCCAAACAGACTTGGGTAGCTCTTGTTAAGAGGTTACCCTGAAATCCCCAGTGTCATAGGCATAAAGCAAGCTGTGGTTGAACACTGGGTGTGTACAAGGGTGCACTAACTGAATGAGCACAAACCCTCTGTTTGGCCCTGTTGTTGCTGCTGAGGTAACAGACTGGAATAATAGTACAAAAAAAAAAAGGCATGCAATACAACAGTTTGGTCTGCCTCTGCTGCACAGTGTTTGTTCTGGTTTTCTGATCTCTGAAAAACAAGTTCTCCAGATAATCATTCATGTTTTGTTTCTAGATATTGAGAAATTTGTTCAAACATTCAATGAAAACCACAGGGCAAAGCAGCAAGGACTTAAAGCGGGTCATCTGGAGGAGACCAACATAATTAAAATTGAAAACTTACCACCTAACATATCGTCTGATTATATAAGTGTTTATTTTGAAAATAAGAAAAACGGAGGCGCACAAGTGTCTGATGTTCAACAACTACCGGAAGATAATGCAGTTCTCGTCACCTTCCATGATTCCAAGGGTAATGTACAAACGTGTAACATTTTGTTCTATCTTAGGGTGTAAAGAGCAACATGCAAATAGAATAGGTACTTGAGAAATAACAACTTTACTCCATGAAAAGGGATAACAGTGCTGGTTTGGCAGCAGACTGGCCGGGAGCTGGATGTATATAGTATGTAGGCTCTTTCTTCATTCCACCTACAGTAGATAATTAGCCTGCGTTCCTTGCTGTAGCACCTGAGTTCCCCACAATTGAGGATGAGGGGAAGAAGTGTCATGCTTTTTGTCTAGCTTTGGTATTGGACTTCATATAAAAGGTATTAGCTATGTAGTTTTATGCCAAATGAGGATCGTGTCTCCCTCCTAAAGGAAAGACCAGCAAGATTTGGCTCTAAGAGGTTAAATAAATTGAACATCTGTTTGAAACGCACAACAATTTCTGTGTTTAAAATTCTGTGTGAAACATTGCGTTGTAATTGTGCAGGTCCACCTAAAATCTCATTCCCATAAATCAGTTCTTGCTTGAAAAAGCTGAATACAATGTGTCACATCTGACATGTCTGTCATTTAAGGGACTTACCTCAGTTTTTAACCAGTTGTAAATGGAATCAGTAATTGGCCAGCAGTTGACACCACAATATGTATGAAGAGGCAGAAAGAACCCGACTGTAGAACTTCTTCTACTTTTCTGAAAGAAATGACGCACTAAATTTGCTTACGTCAAGAATAAGTATTTATTACTGTTCTTAATTCAGGCTAGCATCCTGGCTTGTTAAGCAGTGGACGTATTTAAAGCACTGTAGGAATTAATGGCTCACTCTTAAAATTCAAGGATGTAGCAAGTAGGGTTGCATTAGGCTGTCCTGGGTCTAGCACTGTTCAATCCTTTCATTGATTTCTTGTATAATGGAAGTGGTAAGTGCATTTATTAAATTTTAGATACTGCCCTGCAAAGTGCTTGCTACCTATATTAGAATCCAAAATTATCTTGAGAAATGGGGAAAATGGCTTGGAAGAGGTGAAATTCCACAAGGACAAATGCAGTGGGCAGCTGCAAAATGCAACATGAGAACACCTGGCTAGAAAGAAGCTCTCCACGGAAAGATCTAGGGGTTATAGAAGATCTAACTGAACATGAATCAACCGTGTTATATGGTTGGGGGGGGAAAAAAGCCAACACCTCAGTGTGATGTCTAAATAGATTTGGAAGCCATGACCTATGAGGAAAGGTTGAAAGAACTGAGTTTTTGTCTAGAGAAGGGAAGACTGAAGGGAGATGTCACCCCACGTGGGGCAGGACATGTAATGGGCTTGAATTGTCACAAGAGAGATTTAGGTTGGATATCAGGAAGAATGTATCAGGTAAGCTCTTGAATATATATCGTTGAAGGCTGTTTGTTTTAAGAGCAAGTTAGACAGACGTCTGACAGAAATCGTTTCTGTAGAGCTGATCCTGCCTTGGGGCAGGTGGATGAACTAGATAAACTCTTGAGGTCTCCCCTTCCCTGCCTTTTATCAATTTGCAATGTGTGAAGTCCTCCAGAGTACGTAGAAAAAAAGGTAGCATTTCAGTGATGCAGAAGTGCTTGACAGACAGACAGGCAGATACTCCTTTCAAATAAACAGAAATGCAGTAATTCAAGGGTTTCTGCTTTTTTCAGATTTAAAAAAATAAGTAAGTGTGTAAAGTGAAATGGATACAATTGATTGTTTTGGTGGCTTTTTCTTTTTCTTTTTAGATGTAAACACTGTCTTAAGAAAGCAGCATTCACTCAACCAAGTTCCAATTTCAGTATATCCTTACCACAGCTCACTGGGCACAGCTCTATATGGAAAGGAAGGGCCACAAATAAAAAAACCGGAACCAATCAAAATGCCTCTGAATCCTCATATCTGGAAGCTTTTGCAGGAGGATCAGAAGCTAATCCAAAAAATAAATCATGATATGGCAGATTGCAACTGTGACATAACATGGCCACCACCCAGTTGTGGAAATCCCCAAATTGTGCTGTCTTTCTCCAATGCTTTGTCCAGCCACAAAAGATCAATGGCTCAGGCGATCAAGACATGGAATAAAGATGTTTCTGCAAAGTTTTCAAGTAGCATATCGGAGTACAAGACCACTAAATATAAAATAAATTCAGAGGTGTGGGAAGCCATTAGAAATAGTGTGAAGAGGGATCAGGTCTTAATCATACCTGAGATTTCCAAGGAGATGGTTGTCTTAGTAGGTGGCAAAGAGTTTATGAAGGATGCAGAGCAAGAAATGAACTTGCTAATAGAAAAGGCAACTAAAAAGATAGACAGAGAAAAGAATGTTACTGAAGAAAAGGTGTCCATTGCCCCAGGAGAGTATGCAGTTTTAAACACTTCTAGACTTGATGATGTTTATAAGGAGTATCCATCCATGAAGATAACTTATGATCCTTCATCAAAGAAGCTGAGCCTGTTTGGTGTGGCTGAAGATGTTTATAAAATCAAAAGTGAAATACTGGAAAAGGTACACAGCCTGGAAAAGAAAGCAATCTCTATGCATCCTTACATTTACCAGTTTCTACAGCATGTAGATAATGAAGTGGTCTCACAGAGCTTATTTGTGTCAAATCAAATTAGTGCCTTTTATGAGCTTGGCGATGAAGTCCTAATGCTGATAGGAGCATCTCCTGAAGTACTGCAAAAAGCAGAAGAAGTAATGGTGAGGGATTTGACCTATAAATGCATTGAGCTGGAGGATCAGTCAGTCCTCAGAAAGCGAGAATGGCGGGACCTCACTAACCGTTTGTACAAAGCACACAACTGTTTGAAGGAAAGCATTACAATTGATGAGATGGAGGATCGGATAGTTATTGCTGGTTATTTTAGAGTAGTTGGAGAAGCCTATCAGCAACTGCATGATTTTTTAGATAGAAATACCCAAGTTCAAAAGATCATTAAAGCAAAGTCTGTGGCAGTTGTAATGTTTTTAAAGGAACGGAAGTCCAGTGTTTGCCTGGAGTTAGAAAAAAAACATGTGAAAATTGAATTTGGCACACAGACTTCACGTAAGAGCATTTCCCTGAGTGGATCGAAAGTGGAAGTGCTGAAAGCAGTGACGATGCTTGAACGAATTCTGTCTACGTTGCATTCTAAAAACGTATTAATTGATAAACCAGGGGCCAGGCAGTTTTTCAAAGACTCTGAATCCTTATATAGTAGTGGGGTGGAGCAAAAATTTAGGTGTCTGATCAGGCTTCAAGAAGAGGGAGAAGAATGTGAAAAAGATGACGCAGTTAGTAATGTTCATAAGAAATCAAGCGGGATCTGTTGGACCAAAGCCCTGCAAAATGGGGTTCTGGTGGAAGTTTATAGAGGTGACTTGTGCAGTCATCCCGTCGACGTTATTGTGAATGCATCAAACGAAGACTTAAAGCACCTTGGTGGCCTTGCTGGGGCACTTTTAGAAGCTGCAGGCCCAGAACTCCAGGCAGAGTGTGACCGCTTTGTGAGAGAGCACGGCTGTTTGCAGCCTGGGTGTGCGGTGATTACAAAGCCTGGGAAACTCCCTTGTAAACAGGTGGTGCATGCTGTTGGTCCCAGGTGGAAGCAGAACGAAGCAGAACTGTGTGTGGAGCTTTTAAAAAAAGCAGTAGAGAAAAGTCTAAAACTTGCTGAAACATACAATCATCGTTCCATCGCACTCCCTGCAATAAGCTCGGGGCTTTTTGGATTCCCATTAAAGTTGTGTGCACTTTCAATTGCAACATCCATTAAGGAAACCTTGGAAGATTCCACAGGTGACAGCTGTTTGAAAGAGATTCATCTTGTGGACACTGATGAGAAGACAGTCAAGGCTCTCATTGATGCTTTGGAAGAAGTGTCGGGAGAGAAGTCATCCTCATCCTGTTCATCAGCTTGGTCTGCAGCAGATTCCCAGCCCTCAAAAGCTAGAAACACTAAAGATGGAGAGGCTCTCCAAATGGTAACTACAGCTGAAGGTCTGAACATTAGGCTGTTGAAAGGAGGCCTTGAAGATGCAACAGTAAGTGTTCTAATTTAGCAGCTGTTTATCTAGCGTGGTTCAAAGTTTTGTTTTCAGATGTAAAATTAATAAGAAGATACTTGTATTATTTATAAGTAAAAATGAAATGATTTGTCTGTTATGATTTATAACTGAGTCACTATTTTACATGTTAAAATAGATGCATTTAGTCTTTGTGCATCTAGTCTTAGTCAAACCGCGTTTAGTCTTTGTGCCGTTCTTTCATACGTAGAGAAGAGCGGACGCATGGTAGATGGAATTGATTTATCTCACTTTTGGAGAGATTTGGGTTAAGCCCTTTGTTCCATTGCTTGATGTGGCTTTGGCTGTGTTGAACAATTTGCTCTGTATAATAAACTAAAACCAATGGTTAAAACAGCAGTACTGCAACTCTTAAGCTAGCTGTTGTCCTCCTGTGTTCTTGCGGTTTCTTGTAAGACTACCTACCTCTTACTGTTTAGAGGGAGGGTCTATACAGACCTGTTGGCCAGTGAAAGGAAGCTTGTTTTAAGTGTGATATACAATAGTCCTTGTACAAGAGATGAGGTGTTGTCATGACTTGTGCTGACCCCAGGTGAGCTAGAAGGAACTCTCTTCCATGTTTTCAGTTTAATGCCTCTCCTTCACTTTTTCATTCCTCTCCTTAACTCCTCCTCCACTTCTGTTTCCTTTCTCCTCATCTTTCCCCCTGTCTGCATTCATGCAGTAGCTCCATTTTTGTAATGCGGGCTGAAACTCACTGCTGCCTTATGTCAGTTCTGCTGATGAGAGAGAAGTTTGGACAAGAAAACTGGAGGTGAACTGTCTCTTACAGGAAAATCTTATCCAGGGATTTTTCAAATGGAGGTGGGAAGAATGGGGCAGGAACACAGGCTTTAGACCAGTCCATGGTCACATTTAAACTGCTCAGTATAGATGGACAGATTTCACTTTGTTGCATACACCTCAGACTTTGAGGCTGGAAGGTAACTGAGCATTTGCTTTGTGCCACGCTGATACTTTCTAACTCGATTTTGTGACGTTTATTAAACCAGCAAATGTAGTTTGCACTTGCCATTTTGAGTTTAAATTTTATAAAATGTTATTTGTTTGTCTGTTTAAGACGGATGTCATTGTGAGCAGCGTTTCCAAAGATCTAATGCTGGATAAAGGTCCACTGTCAAAAGTCTTGCTGAGCAAAGCAGGCCCAATGCTTCAGACAGACTTAAATGGAGAAGCCCAAGGAAAAGTAGCTAGTGGAGGGTCTGTATTCCAAACAAAGGGACACAACTTAGGCTGCAGTTTCGTGCTTCATGCCATTATTCCTGCATGGGATAAAGGGCAAGGATCTGCACAGAAGGTAAAAGCCTTTTTCTTTTCCTAAATTCTCATTAGATTGACCAAGCTTCCCAGTTGGCCTTAATATAGTTGTAAAGTAAAATTTCTTCTGAAGCCAGTAAAGCATTTCCTGGTTCCAGGGCTTAACCTAAGTTTAAATGTCAATGATCTCCTCTCATCTTGATAAATCCGTCCTGAATTAAGATATTTCTAGTACCAGACAATGCCCCAAAGAAACTACACAACTGTGCATGCCAAAATGAATGCTGTTCTGCTTCACAGATCCTAGGGGACATCATTGAAAAATGTCTGCAGATCGTGGAGGAACAGTCTTTAAAGTCAATCGCATTCCCTGCAGTTGGGACGGGGAACTTAGGATTTCCGAAAACAGCTGTTGCTAAATTAATGTTTGAGCAAGTGTTCCAGTTCAGCAGTAAGGTGAACTTAAAATCTCTTCAGGAAGTTCACTTTCTGATCCATCCAAAGGATACAGATAATTTTCAGGTAAGTTGCTGTAAATTACTGTCTTACTATGATGCACTGTTTCTGTTATCAGTTGGCTGAAAGAATAGGGCCAGGTTAAAAATGAGCTTGTCCTATTTCTTTGTGTCTTCACTCTTGTTAAAGTCTTCATCCTCTCTCTAAGCTGCCCCAAGAATGTTTAGCTCTTCCTGCAGTTTTGGTAGCGTTTGTATAACCTACTGGTAATAGCAGCAAAATAAAAGGCAAACCAGGCACAGGCAGTTTTTACCAGTCGGAGTTGTATATAGGGGTAGAAACACTGGTTGCCCATCTGCTTTTGAACTTTTGCATTGTTACCATAGTAGACCTGCACTGGTGTCAGATGAATATTGGGGAAAACATTTCCGTAGACAAGGGGTGTCAAACTCACTTAGGGCTATGGGCTAGATCCAGACCATGGGAGTCCTTCAGTTCTGGATCCAGTCCAGTGCACGGTGGTGGTAGCTGTGGCCACTGTGGCAGCAGCAGTAGTAAGGGGGTCTGGCAGCAGTAAGTCTGGGGAAGGGGGTGAAGCTGGCCCCACTTGCCATGGCCATTGGTGGTGAAAGGGCCCTGAATTGCATGGCAGACCATGCCCCCAACTTCTGGTAGTTTGGTAGGCCAGGTAGAGCAGCTCTGTAGGCTGAATGAAGCCCATGGACCATATGTATGACACTCCTCCTCCTGTGTGGCACTATGCTGTCCCATCATTTGATTTTTCCCCCCCCCCCCCCCCCCT